AAAACTCTAGAAAATACACTCTAAAACAGCAGAAAATACTCTAAAACTCTAGAAAATACACTCAAAAACAGCAGAAAATACTCTAAAACTCTAGAAAATACTCTAAAATAGCAGAAAATACTTTAAAACTCTAGAAAATACACTCAAAAACAGCAGAAAATACTCTAAAATAGCAGAAAATACACTCAAAAACAGCAGAAAATACTCTAAAATAGCAGAACATACTCTAAAACAGCAGAAAATACTCTAAAATAGCAGAAAATAGAGGAATTTCATGTCATAAATTGGTCTCTTCTTCAACCAAAAGTCAGAATTCGTTTATTATTATTTTAGATAGATAGATAGATAGATAGATAGATAGATAGATAGATAGATAGAATTCTATTTAATCCTATAGAAAATGCAGTCAAATAAATCTTGACTGAGTAAACTATAAAGTATAAAAAACTAAACAAATCAAAGTTTTTGATACGTCTAACTAAAGTTTCTGTTCATTTTTCCCTGCATAAGTGTCTGTTTGTTCATTTTTCCCTCCATAAATGTCTGTTTTATCTTTATTATGTTTTACAAACCAGATTTAAACATCTGTTTAAGTCCTTCTATCTTAAAAAGGATAAACTATTCTTTAGGCTGTTCATTCCTCCACATCCGTCTCCTGAAATCAGAGTAACAACATTAAACGGAGAGGGAATTTAGCCGTGTTTGACTGAACCGTAACACACAGAAAAGCTTTTTCTACAGCCCCCCGAAAACTTTAAACCTTTCACTTTAAGGTTGTTGAGAGTTTTCCATAGAAAATGCAGTCAAATAAATCTTGACTGAGTAAACTATACTGTAAAGTAAATAAAAATAAACCAAATCCAGATTTGTACTACATCTACTAAAGTTTTTTGATACGTCTAACTAAAGTTCCTCTTCATTTTTCCCTCCATGAGTGTCTGTTTTCTCTTTATTATGTTTTACAAACAAGATAGATAGATAGATAGATAGATAGATAGATAGATAGATAGATAGATAGA